ATCAAAACGCGAGGGACCAAAAGTTGGTAGTAATGTATCCTAAAGTAAAATAAAAATCCCTAGGTATCATCAATATAAAATCCGGTTACACTTCTACAAAAAGATTTCTGCAATAAACCATCAATAATTCATAATTTATCAACTATAAATAGCGTAATATATCCACAATGACTCCCTTCAAACATGAGACGGTCCCGTCGCGTGCAAAGCATCTGTCGTGTTTTTATGATCACCTATTGCTGGGTCATTAAGTCAACACGCTTTCCACTTATTATACATTTTTGTATCATTTCTATAATACATTTTATGCCAAATAAAATTCATTGCCCCGCCTACTTTAATAAATAACCAGAGACAAATTTCATAAAAGACTTTTTTTGCGTAGTTATCGGGACTTCTTTCCGTAAAATTGTCTATTGAATTTTGGAATGCTGCAGTGTCAAAATTTATGTTGAATATATCGTTTTTTACACGTGTATTGTGGTTAGGGTGGCTTTAGTTTTAATGGGGTATTCGCGTAATAAAAGTGCGGTGGTGTGTGACATTGAGTGGTCGGATAGCACTACATATATTTGATAGTTTTGTTAGTCCGTTCGGGATGAAAGGACATAGCGTAATTTGAATAAAATCATTACTCTTTCTTCAGTACAGAACTCGCTACATCATCATCGTAAACAACCTTTAATAGTCCACTGCTGGACATAGGCCTCTGATTAGAAAGGCGGTTTAGGATTAGATATATGAAACGTGAAAATAAAATAATAGTTAAATATATTATAAAATCAGTATCAGTAGTAATCTATATATATATAAGAGATTTCCACGTATATAGTCACTCATCACGATATCTCTGGAACCATTAGAGCTAAAGACTTGAAATTTAGTAGGAATATTCTTTTCACCGAGTAGAGGTCACCTAAGAACGGATTTTAAGAAATTCAAAATAATAATAATAATAATAAGTGCTGATAGATCGATTAGAGCGCCGCGCAATGATTGTTGATATCGCCGTTCCTCATGACGAGAATCTCGTGAAAGTTGAAAAAGAAAAACAAATTAAATATTTGGATTTATCTCACGAGATTGTCGATATGTGGAATGTTGATTCAGTGATCATTGTTCCAATAGTCGTATCTGCTCACGGATTGATAGCCAAGAGCCTCGACCAACACCTTAAGAGGCTCACGTTGGACGGCTGGATCAAGGGTCTGATGCAGAAGGCAGTCCTCCTTGACACGGCTCGTATAGTGAGGAGGTTCCTATCTTTGGAGTCCTAACCACCGGTGTCTTGGTCCCTGTACCCGATGTCGGTGGTCTACTATTTTTTATATTTTTAAATGTATTTTGTTATAATTTTTTATGTATTTTGTTATAATTTTTTATAAAATGTATGTTTAAAAATGTAAATAATATGTATATAAAGTAAATAAAGAGAATAATAACAATGTAAATAGCAAAACAACGTTTGCAGGGTCAGCTAGTACATTATAAATTCTTTGGAAGCTCTGTCTCGCTTGTACATCATCAGACAGAAAACGAGCTGTTCAGTTGCGATTTAAAAAGAGGGAGAAAACTATTGAATAACTATGGAACAATTTTGCTTTTTAACCATGTTTTTAAAGATATACTTTAAACTCTTGCGAGAAACGGTGTATCACACCACATCAACAGCCTTTAATAGTCCACTGCTCGACAAAGGCCTCTAGTTAGAAAGGAGGTTTTGGACTACTATACCATGCTGGCCAGACACCCGTCTGCTGATATAGGGTTTGTGTCAAGTTTTCCTTCTTTTTGCAGTGCTGGTGTCTTTTATTGTTTTGCGCCCTTAGTCGGCTCTTACGACACCCACGGGATGAATTGGGGTACTGACATTCCGTATTCTTAATCCGGCCACGGCGTACAATTATGTAGAAATATGGAAATTAACGCGATAGTTCTTATGAATCGCTTGACTATAATCGCTGCTGGTACAAATTGATCGAAATGTACTTATATCTACATGTTTTTGAGAATCATCACAGATCATCTTGATCGCAGACTTGATGACTTTCAAGGGTCCAGACGAAGCTGGGTTCCGAAAAGGCTTCAGCACCACAGACTGACACTACCATAGGCTATACACGAAACCGAAGAGTGCACAAATCCTAGAACTAGTGGTAATTATAATTTGCCATTAGTTCTAGCATTTGTGGACGATGAGAAAGAGTTTCGATCGAACAATTCGATTCAAACATAGGCGGTGCTTGTTCTTCTCAAACGATTCCGAAGTGACTACCAGTAAATCGACTAAAGAGAACGGGTTAATGTTATCATGCACTAGTACAGAGATTGTTACTATGAAATGAATATGCAGTCGATTTTCTTTCAATTGTTTAAAATATTGTACATTTTTATTTTCCTGCCTAGTTTGATCAGACGGCCTTGTATGAGGTGTGTGAAGGTTTTTTTATAAGAAGGTATTTTATATAAAATGCTCGAGTATATGGAGTCACTTCAGAGATCACACGATCACACGTAAATCTAGGGAAAGAAGCAATAAAATTCGGGTGATATGCGAATAACTATTACTAGTAAACAATTAATTTACAAGCGTCCAAAAAAAAACGATCTAGATCAGCATACTGAAAGTCAGTGAGCGTCTGCGAAAGGTGTGACAAATACTTATGGAATAAGACCAATCTATATCTCAATATAGTGATAAATTTTAGGTACTTTATCATCTTTACCTAATTAAGCAAATAATATGCTTAAGGGTTAATAGTTAATCATAATACTGCTATCCACTATCCTTCAAAGTATTTACTTTCCAGGGATGAAGCGAATTGGAACGGGCTTAAACGGTATTTATTAAGACAAATTAAAGCCTTTAAAGCGGTTTATTGAAATAATATAAATATTGATCTCGACTAATCGGTCTTCTATTGACCTACTGTCTGGAACAAGTTCATACTATAAAGTTTATTAATTATAAGCACTACCTAACATTCCTGCTTATCGGCAGAAGATTAAATGCGTATTTATTGAGCTCCAGTTTAAATAAGACACAACGATAGACAGGTGGAAATAAAACTATTTCATTTCATGTTGTTTCATTTATGGAAACTCTCCTTTTTTTTTTAAAAAAACATCTCCCGCATTAGGAATATATAATGTGTCTCGGGGGACTTTACAAACATATATGAAACGGACACAAAGAACACCCAGACTTAGAACAACAATATGTGGATCACACAAAGTGTCGTCCCATGTGGGGTTTGAACCCACAACACTCGGCGCAGTAGGAAGCGGCGGGGCGACCGCTTAAACCACTGCGCCATCCGTGCAGTCAGTTGTTAAGTGTTGTAGATTTATGTTAAATAGCCTTAAAAATTAAGCTATCAGCAGTAACGAGAAGTAGATTAAAGCCGTCCATTGAGACATGCAATTCAAAAGCCACAAGTGCGTTGTCACTTTCGATCAATCGAAGGTCACCGAATTTTAAAGCCCAAAAATTCTTGGGATTGAGGGAGGAAGGTTTTGGGCTCCAGTAACCACAATCGCTCGATGAAACCAAGAAAAGGCATGTTTAATATCATTTTTCTGTAACGCCGTGGGATCACCACGATCGAACTGGCTCATACGTACTGAAAAATGATATTTTAAAAAGGATACGTTATATTTATAACGCACGCATAAAATATTTGTTCCGTAACCGTACATACATTTATTTATGAATTTTAGAACAAAACATACACTTACCTGATGTATGATATTTCTTTATCTTTATTTACCCTTTTATCGTAATTTGTGCACTTTCGGAATACACAGGAAGGCATTTTGTGAATTTCTTCGAAATTATTAGGATGTGCGCTCGCGCGCATTGCTCCTAATTAGGACCCTCGCATTTTGTGCGTTGGTAGCCTCTTGGCCTACCTCTTGTTTGTGCTTTTGTGTAGTTCTCTTATGGCAACTGCCAAATATACGTAATTAGTACAAATGATCATTAATCACTCAAATAACAAACTTGTTAAATCCCTTGATTGTGAACAAGTGAGGAAGGCAAAGGATGGGACTTATCTGACAATCGCATTACTAATGTTAAATGTACTATATTTTTCTATTGCCTATGAATATTAGTCAGTTGATTTCGTCGCTACAGCAGAATTGAGCAAAACAAGCCGTGTGATCGCCGGAACAATTCTATTGGAACTTCCGTTTAACAAAAATTAAAAATAAACAACAATGGTGTTTTAATAATAAGTCAGCTACTTTAAACAAATAATTATTTGATATTTAAAAATATAAATGTATTGTTTAAATAGGTTTAATTTTTTTAGTAGTATGTAATTATACAATTACTAGGATATATCGCACGATTATAGGTCGATGTCCCACTGTAAAGCAACAAGTTTCACAGACATATAAAAGAATACTTTAAATTTATCAATAAAAGAAGGCGATATATAAATGAATGTGTCTTTAATTTAAAAAAATAAAAGCAAACCATTATATGTGCATGACGTAAAGATGCACATGAGATAGTGTGTTATTTGAATTTCAACCATAATTCGTTACTATATTGGGTTTTGATTATTTTGTATTAATTCCGTTATCAGAACTTAAACTGTCGTAGTACAAAATAATCAAAACCCAATATAGTAACGAATTATAGTTGAAATTCAAATAACACACTATCTCTACTACTTATAAAACAGTAACCGATGTAGTTTTAATAAGACAGATATTAGGGATGTTCACATCCCATACAAAATTATTCATTGACACTAAAATGTTCCATTCATAAAATTTTTTTGTAAACTAACACTGGGGTTGACGTCTCACCGACAAAAGGGGTGGGCCGGGCCAAATAATTGCCGAAACGCTTCCAAGTCTATTGTGTAAATGCACAATAGGGTGCACTAAGTGGGGGTAGTTTTTATAATTGTTACTTTTACGAGAAAGGCACCCCATACTCAGTGTTAAACTGCGGTTTACTCCGATAGCTCGTCAGCCACGTAAACATGTCTCGTTCGTTTTTAGTAGATACTCTGATAAGTGATACAAAAGACTGCAAGAAAAATGAAATATCAAGTGCGCCCACAAATCCATATTTACCGTTCCTGGGCCTTCATCTGGATCCACGAACAAAACTTCTGCCTTACCCGTATCCTGGAGACTTGAACCGACTTTTCAACATCAGCCAATACCAACAACGACCACCTGATTTATTTAGACCGTTTTTAGAACAACTTAATTGCCAATACCCTTTTGTTCATCAGTTACCTCGTCAAGATTTCAATGAGACTCCACTTGAGACGAAACCATTCCAAACCTACTCCAAAATCGAAGAACAAGAACCTATTGACTTTGTTACCAAGAGAAAGAAATCTGTGTCTCCGTATTTGTATCATCCTTACAGCAGTACTACTTCTTCACCACCGTCGAAGAGACAAGAACTCAGATCTCCTTCTTTATCTAGTGAAAGTAGAAATGAAACCCCAAGTCCCCCAGCTGGTAACCCAGAAGAATTCCTACCCGGTTATACTAAAGATGTAAAAAGAGAACCTTTAAAAGAAGACTCAAGTAAAAGAATCAGGACAGCGTTCACTGGCACCCAACTGCTGGAATTAGAAAGAGAATTTTGCATGAACATGTACCTTTCGAGACTTCGGAGAATTGAAATTGCATCTAGACTGAAATTATCTGAGAAACAAGTGAAAATTTGGTTCCAAAATCGCCGTGTCAAGCTGAAGAAAGAAGAGCCATCTATGTCTTCAACATCTGGATCACGAAAGTGTTGTTGTGCTAAGAGTTGTTGTTCGTCTAACAATCAAGATTCTTGTGATCAAGAACAAATTGATGTAGGTAGTGATAATGACGTGAATTTTAAAACTCAAAACCTTTCTCAATATTCCTGAATTTTGAATGAAACGCATTTAATGTACTTTATGTAATAAGGTTAAGTGTTATTTAGACTTAACACAGTATCAAGAGTGCCAAGTAATATATGTATTAATATCGTACAGCTTTAAGTGACTTCTTATTGTAAATTTGTCGACTACTTTTTATTCATTATTAATTAAATTAAATTAATTATTGTGTGGTGTCCGTGTGGTGACGGATTAAGAATACGGAATTTCACCACCCCTATTCATCCCGTGGGTGTCGTAAGAGCCAACTAAGGAAGCAAACTACGCAGGGCAACAGCACTGCAAAAAAACCTGCCGTCTGGCCAGCGTGGTGTAGTAGGCCAAAATTTCCTTTCTAAGGAGTGCCCTATGTCCAGCAGTGGACTGTTATAGGCTGTTGATGATGATGAATTATTAAAATAACATGTCAATATAATGAATAAATGAATTAATTAATTATTAAATTAAAATGAATGAATTTTTAATTTCATTTCAAATTGAGCTTAGAAAAAAATTGATCGATTTGTGTACTGTAGTTTGGATAATCTATTTTTAATACAAGACTGTACAAAAACTCAATAATTTACTCCTATTATTAGATGTAAAAGAACTAAAATATAGATTGTTACTATTGTAAATAATAGTTTATAAAATAATTATATAAAAACTTAAATATATTTTGATACAAATTTACCATTCGTTAGTGTATAATAAAGTTGTTGAAAATTGTGTATCCCATCTCCCGTTATATCAATTTCCGTCTATGAACGTGATTATATTCGTGTTTCATGATTATAATATGAAACGTGAAAATATAAAAGCGAGTATACACTTCTCTTAATTCCATTCCATTTAATACTAGCTAGCTCGGCTGACATTTAAAATATACTTCAATTAAAATACAATATCGAAACTGCTAACTTTATGTTTATTGCGCATATTAAATATTTCATTTAGTTATTATCTGAATTTTATAATTTATAAACCAATGTACATCACGAGAAACAAGACAAATAAAAAAACTTAATATAATATGTTTTTATTAATATCGCAACACGTATACCAATTTTGACTTAATATCCTATAATAGATGGGGCAGAGGGCGACCACAGTAGTCCTCCATCGCCATCGCCGATTCTCTTCACCTCATCTGCGTTTTCCTTGCGGATTCCATTCCAGTGCCTGATTGACGATATGCTCGGGGTTCCTACGCAGAGTGTGGCCGATCCACTTGCCAATATACCAATTAAACCCTTGATTTATTATCTCTATCTCTCTCTGTGTGTAGATATATGTTAATAGATCTCATGCCTGCCAATATTGGTACCAATGTATTGTTTTATTATTTACCAACATCCACTGTTATCTAGGTACATATTTATGTTGTATGTGTCTTGGTGTGCAGTAAAGCATGTCTGTCTATATAGAGACACACACTTCTAAAATACCACGATTTCCCGACAGACACTTGACTAGATTTGAGACATGTAGGTTTTAAATAATTGTAATGGGTATTTAATATGTAATTCAATGAATATGAATTAATTATCATCATCATCATCAACGGCCTATAACAGTCTAATGCTGGACATAGGCCTCTCCTTAGAATGGAGGTTTTGGCCTACTATATCAGGCTGGCCAGACGGGTTGGTATAGGGTTTGTTTCAAGTTTTCCTTCTCTTTGCAGTGCTGTTGTTCTTCGTAGTTTGCTCTCTTAGTCGGCTCTTTCGACACCCACGGGATGAATAGGGGTGTTGACATTCCGTATTCTTAATTCGTCACCACACGGACACGGAATTAATTATCAATCAATGTATTATTCCTTGATAGCCAATGTTTGTCTTGGTTGCCAGACTGTAATCTATGTCAAATTTCATGCAAAATTGTCAATCTATACTGGCGTCATTGAGTTAAAAACATCCATACAACCATCCTCAAAAACTTTTGCGTTAAAATCTTTATGGGTTATTCCATTTTACATAACTTTACGATTTTGGAGATGCCGACTACAACTTGTTGGAGCCTCACTCGTTTATAAAAGTTGTCAGCCATCTTAACGAGAGTACAACTGTATCATAATTTTACAAGTTTTTTTTTCTCAATTTGAATACATTTGCTTTTCAAAATGTATGAAATATTTTTTCTAAGACAACTCCTGCATAAGGAATATATCCTGTGTCGCGACACAGGATATATTCCTTATGCACAATGCAACCTTATGGACTTTACAAACATAGTTACATGAAACGGACACAAAGAACACCCAGACTCAGAACAACAATTTGCGGATCACACAAAGTCATCTTATGTGGGGTGTGAACCCACAACACTCGGCGTAGTAGGAAGCGGCGTGGTGACCGCTAAGCCACCACTACGCCATCCGTGCAGTAATATTTCTTATTATAAGACATTAACATAAAAGCGGCGGAGACCGCTACACGGCCACTACGCCATCCGTGCAGTAATATTTCTTATTATAAGACATTAACATAGAAGCGGCGGTGACCGCTACGCCGCCACTACGCCATCCGTGCAGTAATATTTCTTATTATAAGACATTAACATAAAAGCGGCGGAGACCGCTACACGGCCACTACGCCATCCGTGCAGTAATATTTCTTATTATAAGACATTAACATAGAAGCGGCGGTGACCGCTACGCCGCCACTACGCCATCCGTGCGGTAATATTTCTTATTATAAGACATTTTAACATAGAAGCGGCGGTGTCCGCTACGCCGCCACTACGCCATCCATGCAGTAATATTTCTTATTATAAGACATTAACATAGAAGCGGCGGTGACCGCTACGCCGCCACTACGCCATCCGTGCAGTAATATTTCTTATTATAAGACATTAACATAGAAGCGGCGGTGACCGCTACGCCGCCACTACGCCATCCGTGCAGTAATATTTCTTATTATAAGACATTAACATTAGCATTAACAACATTAAAAGCGGCGGTAGCCTAGTGGTTAAGGCATTGGACTTGCGATCAAGAACCCACTCGAACCCACTCCTAACACAAGCAATTTAGTTTAGCTGGAGGGGTTAACGGGAATACTAGCAATTTCGGTTGATAGTAAGCATTTTAAAATAAGAAAGAATGGCCCTTCAATATAAAGGTATGGTAAAAATCTATAAATTAATAATAATTTATAGAGTTGCAGTCAGAAACGTCTAAAGGTTTTTGATTGCAACTATAACAGATATACAAAAAAAATATGTAAAAAAAATATCCTCCATGCTTCTGACTCCAACAGAGGCATCCAAATCAAACTTATAAATTACTTTCTATTAACATGATAACGGTATTTTTAAATCATAGGACTCTTTCACTTACTCGACATAAGAGACTGTGTAACCAGTTGCTGAAACTAATATCTAGACAATAACAAGTATTTATGATAAAACATGTATTAAATGATTTAAATATATTTGACGTAGAAACGTCCTATGTTAAAATATTAACGTCTGTTAAAGAAACTTTATTCTAATATTAATAGATAAAAAGATTCATCAACCTATTTCTACTTTAATGACATTACCGTTTCCAGATCATAGTGCTTTCATTAAAGACTAAGAATTCCGAGAGGTTAAGAATGTAAGGGACACATTTATGCGTGCCGATCCCTTAATAAAAGCATATTACTGTTGTGTCCTCGTGGAATGCCAGGAATTTAGTACGGTACAATAAGTTTTTATTAAATTTTAGTTTAGACGCCGAGAGGGGTCACTAAATAAATATCGTTGTCTATTAGTCGGCCATGGCAGAAAAACTTTTTTAATTAATAGGAGGAAAAGAATAAAATAAAGTAAAAAAAAGTTATAAATTTACAATACTCACCATGGCCTAGGCCTATTTTAGTGTCGGATGACACTAAAATAGGCCTAGCCTGTGCTATGGTAAGTACATGTTAGAAAGAAAGAAAGAAAGAAAATTTATTGGCACATGAAAAATTCCTTACAAAAAGTGCCAATAGGTCTGCAGCTCAGCATACTGTTGGATAGCCACAGGTGCCTTCCAACGCTGGTTTTGAGCTGCAGCCCATAAGACTGGGTGTTGTCTGCTGGAAGCCATTCAAGTGTGTGATTGTGTGCGTGTATATATATATATATATATGTTGGTGCAGTGGTATACATATATATATATATATGTTATAGATAAATTATACCTCGACACAGAACAATGATCTCGCTCATCACCTTATTATTTGTCTTGGTTGAGAATCAAACCCATGACCTTCGGCTTGGCAGTCAGGATTCCTAACACAAGACCCAGAGGTCTGTCAAATATATTTATTCTCTTAGATATACAGGGTGTAAGGGACGTCGTAAAGAATATTGAAATTGTGTATTTAGACCATGATTCTAAGTCAAGTTCGAAATCATTGGAATTTTCTGCCCGAAAATTCATCTATTCCTTATAATTTTCCTTTTTTTTTGGTTAAAATTATGAAAAATGATATCACAATGAGCAAACAGAATCTTTTACCGAAAACAATTTATTAAATACCGCATACGGTCAAAACTGCAATGTAATTAATCAAACATCAATTGCGCTGAAGCGCGTGGAGACTCCCTTTCGACCGCCAACTTATGTTAGCTGTTTGCACGGATTACACATGTAGTTATTACTTTTGTGCGATACTTACGGGGAATGTCCTGAACCTTTGACTGATTGTGTAAAAAGTTTAATTTTTCGGGAGAAAATTCCAATGATTTTCGACTCAGAATGATGGTTTAAATACACTATTTCAATATTCGTTACGATGTCCCTTACAAACTCTATTTGATATATCAGGATAGGGGTTCGTCTTATCATACTGGTGTGCGCGCAAATCGAAGGCAAATAATGAGAGTGACAAAACACCTGACATACATAGCGACAGTGGAAACGATCTTAGTGACCAATAGCTGGACACTATTTTCAAAACTTGACAGTCTTTTTTTACGATATAGGGGAAGCAAACGAGCAGAGCCACCGGTTTTCTGATCCCCTAGAGCTG